TAAAACATATGTATGCAAACAGAAAGCCCAGAAAAATGACTGTTCGTTTTCTAATTTTAAATATTTTTTAGTTTGACTGAACTATTGTATAAATGTTCTGCTGTCAAGTAATAGATCTGGGCCAAGTTTGCATGCAAGACAGAGCTGAGAAAAACTTGGCTGAAACCCTGCCAGTGGCTACAGAACAGTGTTGGGCAATAATTGTTCCCTAGATCTTACTGTTCTCAGAAGTTCCAGTCAGCCTGACCAGCTACATGGAAACATGGTTCAGCAACATTTGAAAGACATAAAAATAGTCCTCGATTTACAACCACATTTGAGCCCCAAATTGTTGTCATTTAGTGAGACAATTGTTCAGTGAAACCTGTCCCATTTTATCATCTTTCTTGCCACTGTTGTTAAGTGAATCACTGCAGTTGCTAAGTTAGTTGTAAAGTGAATCTGGCTTCCCCATTTGACCTTGCTTGTCAGAAGGTTGCAAAAGGTGTTCACATGACTTTGAGACACTGCAACCATCAAAAACAGGAGTCAGTTGCCAAGTGTCTGAAATTTGATCACGTGACCATAGAGATGCTGCAACGGTCATAAGTGTGAAAAACGGTCATAAGTCACTTTTCCCAGTGCCGTTGTAACTTCAGACACTAAATGAAACATTGTAAGTTGAGGACTACCTATATGTTCCTTGCCTGACTTAGTATAAAGCAGCTTTCTCAATAGTATTTTCACATACTTTTCTGACTCTCAGGCTAAAGTTAAAATAAGGTAAAGGTGCCATCAATTACATTTATTTGGTGCCGGTTTTGACCTGTGCTACCAATACTAACGAAAGTCATTTTACTGCCTCAGGTAAGTAATGCCTAGCATCTTAAGTCAGGAACTTACATGCACAAGACACCCAATCCTCTGTGAGAGCCAGTTTGTTTTAATGGTTAAGGCATCAGCCTAGAAAACAAGAGATTGTGAGTTCTAGTCCCGTTTTAGCCATGAACACCAACTAGGTGACCTTGGGCCAGTCACTTTGTCTCAGCTCAACTCACTTCACAGGATTGTTGTTATTATGGGAAAAATAAGAAGAGGCAGGTATGTTGAATATATTTGCCACCTTGTAAAAATAATAAAGGTGGGATACAAATAAATAAATCTCCAATTTTCCTATTGGTAGGCTGCAAGGACCATCTTTCATTGAAAGGATAATGAGGACTTTCCCTTTGCCCCCAGTGTAAACACTCTAAATCACTGACAAAAGCAATGCTGAAAATTTCATGTGTTTCACGGGGAGAAAAATGAAAGCTTCATATACTGTATGCCTCTTTCTTCCAAGTGAAAGAGGATGTGTGTTTGTGAGAGGAGACCATGTGTGGGTCTCCAGAGAGGAGCAATAATAGATGTAGGCACTGTGCATGTTTTCATCTGTGCATTCTGATTCCCAAAGGTAAAATCTTTAAACTGATTGACTGGTGACTTAACTTCATGTAATGTCTGGACACAGTATGGAAGTGGTACAGTACATGTATGTCATTGCTTTCCTATAGGAATAAGAGGAATGATGAGAAAGCAAAGAAGGGGATGTGGGAACATTGGTCTAGATATTTTAAATACAGCAAATGCTTGTGACTGTGATTCCCTTGATCTTACTGTCTAAAGCAGAAGCATCTAAGTTTAGTTGGTTCAAAGTATTAATGGAGTTTTCTGTCCAATACCATTATTTAATCAATTTTAGAGGCTGCATTAAATTGATTTTAATATTTATTGAGCAGAGATTATTTCCCTTCTGCTGATGATAAAAGTAACCTTAACCAAGATTTTTGGTGCAAAACTTTAGAATGGTGAGTAAATAGAGTTAAAGCAATTTGTCAATACGGTAATAACTGTTAATGGAATTTGTCAACAGTTTCTTACTAAAAAACTTGGAAATTAGAAATATGGGTGGAACTCCATGTCTTGCCTGGCCTTCTAATATTCTTGTTCAGGTATAAAAGAAAAACAATATTTAAGGAGTTAATTAAGCAAAATACATCAATCTCCAACATCCCACCCAGGAATCATAACTGATACAAAGCTATACCGAATTACATTTTATGGGGATTTCATAAGAATAACAGCACCATCAGTATATAAAAAGAACTGTACTCTCCATTCCCATCTAAGTATTAGGTTACACATCAGTATAAAATTATAATAAGGAGATCAAGTTGAACTTCTCTCTTGGTGAATGCACCAATACATTTTTTTTTTGCCATTGTAAAAGTGGTAGTTAGCCATCATCCAGCTTCCCAATCAAAGGGCTAACATCATTAACTATAGAAATGTATTGTGAATGTTTATGCCCAGAAATCTAATCTTTATTGTTGCAGACCAGTGTAAAAAATTAAAAGTTCAAATTAAAAATTATTAACATTTCTAATATCAGTAAAAGGAAATTCTTCATTATAATGCAATAAATGTGAATGATAGAATATAAACTTAGACAACCATTGATAAAACTTCCCTAAACAATGAAAACAAATGGAAGGATTTTAAAACAGCTTTGAGTAAGGTAGTAAAAAGCTTATTTAATAACTTATTAAATATTATGTCTAAGCAAGTATGAATACACAGGTATATGCTTGTGTGTGCGTGTGTGTGTATGTATGGATGGATGAACAATTGGTGTGGTATAAATTGAATTATAATGGGGGTCCTAAGAGTTAAAGGACTACTTGCCTACATAATTTTTTTCTGCATAAATTTTCTACATAGAGCATGAAAAAAAGAGATAGAAAAAAAATTCTCTCTTAGAGAAGTTAGGGTTGCAGTCCAACCACAGGAACAATAGGTAGTGAATGAAGTTGTCTTTGGAAGAAATAATTAGCAAGCAGAGGTATGAAGATAGGACACAGCCTCTGCTGGAGAAAGGAAGAAAATGTGAACTGGTATTTGTTAATTCTATTAATTAACACATTCTATTAAGTTCAAAAAGTATTAACTAAATATTTATTTATGAAACCTGTATGCTAATGACTAGCGTTAGTTTTATTGCAATTTCCTAGGAACTTATAATAAAACCAACTAAAAGAGAAAAAAGACAAAGGATAGTAAGAATTGCAGAACAAATGGAAGAGAAGCAAGGGGTCTCATTTTCCCTCACTGAAGGCCTGGATGAAGAGGCAAATCTTCACAACTCCTCCGAACAGCAGCAGAGTGGGGCATCTCATAGGAAACCTCATTCCAGAGAGGCACTACTACAGAGATGGCATGCTTTTGGCATCCTGACAGATGACTTTGCTTAACCGAAGGAAACTGAAGCATGCCTACTCTGCCTGATTGAATCTGCCAAGCAAATACTACTACTGGTGGTCCCTCAAATAATCAGACCTCATGCCATATGGGGCTTTATAGATAACAACTAGCATTTTGAATCATACCCAGAAACAAACTAGCCATCAGTGCAGTTCATGAAGCATGAAGATTGTTACACTGGCATTCCAAGACATACCCATCATTATCCATACCATAATTTTCTGGGTCATTTAAAAACTGCTGATTAGTCTTCGAGGATAGCCACATGTAGAATGCATTGCAGTAATCAAGCCACAAGGTGACCAGAGCATGAATGAACATCTAAAGGGCTCATCCGATTTAGGAAACTGCACAACTGGTGCACCAGATGAAGTTGTGCAAAAGTCTGTCGTGGCCACAGCTTCCATCTGCTCTTTCATCCACTAATTTGGATGTATTTGCTTTAAAAATCAAATCCACGTTGTTCTCTAAATTGCCTAATATTCAACAGAGTCGTCACTTCAGAATTGTGTTCTTCACAAAATAATGTTGTTATTAAATGGTCATCAATCCCATAAAGCCATATTAAATGAATAAAGTCCACTATAATAATTTCCATTCTAAAGTTTTAATCACCAAAAACCTACTATTTAGTTCAACCATCTGCAGGCATGGAAAATATTTGTATATTTGAAAAAAATGCGTAAATTTAATTAAAGATTCTGAGTACAAAAACTGCATTTCCCAAACATGGAAAAGAAATTTTGACTCCAGAGACAATTCTCTCAATTGCTAAGAGGCAGTGTTTTTCCTTCACTCTCAGTTTCTCTCTTCTTCCAAAATCCTTGGTGGCCCCTGGGACTACCACAGCAGAGATGTAGACAGGAACTGGATTGAGCAATGAAGTAGGACACTCCAAAGCTTATCATTTTTTCAGCAGATCTGAATCTAAAAACTCAGTCACATGCTCTATAGAGTGTCCTGTCCTGCTTATTCCTGCCTGAGGACAGCTCACTAGAGTAGATGTTTCTTGAGGACAAAGAGTACACAACACCTCAGTCTGCTCTGCGCTTATTATAAAAGCATCTTCTGCTAGTTTTTTCTTGATCTGCATCAAAGGTAGCATTTTCCATCTTTTGTCAGCATGACTGGGGCTATAGGGTCTGCCTGTTTGGCTTCACTGTAGACAAATACATCTGTTCCAACTAGCTAAGGCATGTTTCTTTCCTTTGTCCTTCTTTTAAATCAAATAAAACATTGACAGGAGTTCTAATATTTGCCCTCCTAGTCCATGTGATAGAAAGAATAGGAAAACTTTTTGTCCTGTCTACTAGTGGATGAAGATGTCAAATAAGAGGGGGAGTCAACAGAGAGGGATTTATACAAAATTGTAAAACACACATGTCCTCCAAGACTTTTCCATGGAAAGAAATCATAGTTCTACAGGGCAGTACCGGGGAAAGCAGTAAAGAAGCAAGGTACAGTATTTACCCTGGGGGCATAGATAAACTCTCAAGTGGATTACAAAAGCTGAGGAATAGTTTGAAATCCATACAATTTCTCAAACTGGATTCCTTTCTGGGCCATTTGAGCAGAAGAAACCAATAGCTGAAGGCTGTTGTGTGGACCCTATTTGGATCTTCAGCCATGAAAAATAAGGGCAGATGTACTGAAATCTTTCAACTGCTTATCATTCTTCTACAATTACATGATAAAAGCAAAATCCCTACCACTTTTGTTTTCTTGGGTTTTATCTTTCTTAACCATGGGAGCTGCCAGTCTTACCAGGTAGACCAGAAAGGCAACACAAGTAGATGAGCTAACTGTACTTTATTGTAAAGCTACATTAACAGAACTTTGCACATTCAAAACTACAAGTCTTCCACCATTTCTTTTACATTCTGAGAAACTATTATAGATAAAGTCTCTTATAAGCCTCTTGCTCTGCCCACTATTCAGTTGCAGGTTATGTCCTCTCTTATCTGAATGTTCCATAGCTAGGCAGTATCGCCCCCACCAAGTTTTTTTCCATATGCCATTACAGGCACTTACCATCCCTTTATTTAGACTAAGCAATTTTAAGGTGTGCAGGTTTCATCTCCCAGAATTCCTTAGCCAGCATGTTGATTAGGGAATTCTGGGAGTTCAACTGCACATCTGGAAGGTATTGAGAAACACTGCATAAAACAAATACAAAGCTTCCAAGGGTTTTTAATTCTCCCAACTCCGGTCATCTATCTGAACTACAGTAATATTCTGGGTTATATGTATCCCTCTCTTACTTTCCCTATACAGTTCGTTACAAGAAATCGTTTAAAGAAACTAAGGCGATTTACTCCCGGCGAATAAAAATGCGCCCAATACGAGCATTTATTTTATTTGCTGATCTTGGCTTCGCTAGCCGTAAAGCATTCCCAAGACCACGGGAGGGATTCAGCAAATAAAGCAAACACTGGGGAGCAGTCGCCAGAAAAGAAAGAAGCCAACGTTCCTCCCTCCGCACAGCTGGGCTCGAGCCGCCAAACTAGCAATTCCTGGCAACATGGCGCTGCAGGAGGGGCTCAGAGAACCTTCTGCCGGGCCCCTCTCCTTCGGCTCGCCCGCAACTCCACCAAAAAGGCCTCGAGCGACGGCAGCAAGATTCGGCCGGCTGAGGGGGTCGCTCTAGCTCGAGCAGGAGAGCCATCTCTATGCTCCAGGCATCCAAAGGCTGTGTCCGACCAGCGCGCGAGGGTCGGAGCGCTCTCGGGAAGGGAGGAAGTAAGGAAGGAGGGAGGAAAGGAAGGAAGGAAGGAAGGAAGAAGGGCGAGCTCGAGCTCAGCAGACGACGGGTGGAGCGGAGCAGCAGCAGCAGGATAGGGCCGGGCGGGGCTTCGCGGCGCCCACGGGCCAGGCGCTGAGACTGGCAGTTTAGCAGCGACTCCCCTTTGTGTCTGGACTGAGAAAAGGGGAGCCGCTGCCAGCCAGCCAAGCCCAGCTGCCGGAGGCGGGGAGGCGACGCGACGTGAGAATCCTCCTGCACGAAGCCTTCGCGGGCGGAGGAAGAGCCGGGCAGACGGGAAGCTGAACTCCCCAGTGGGGGTGGAGGAAACAGGGCAGGGTCGCGAGTGAGTGTGTGAGGGTGCATGAGGGCGAAAGGGTTTGGCCGCCGCGGGAGCGCTTGTCACGGGTTCCCTCTCAGGTTCTGATCGCTGGCGAACCGGGCTCTTGCGAGGGGAGGGAAGAAGGTGGAAGAAGTGGCTCTCCCCTCCCCTCTTCCCGCTGGGACCACGAAAGGAGGGAGGGGGAAGACAGAAAGAAAGTGCATTTTTCCAAGGGCTGCCTACGAGGAAAGGCCGCTTTGCGCCGGGGCTGCTCGGAGCCAGGAACTGGGAAACCCTGATTTGCTGCTGCTGCTGTTGCTGCTTCATAGAAACGCCCGGACTTTCTGCCCGTTTCCTTGGTTGGAGTTATTTCCTTTTCGGCGTACTTGCGTGCGTGTGGGTGCGCGTGTAAAGCAAAGTGGACGCCGAGTGTGATAAATTTAATTCGAGATTGATGGCACGTAATGGGGCAGTGGGTCCTTAAAATTCCCCGTAAAGAAGATGACGACTTATTATTTCTAAGTGACAGGAAATAGCCTTTTCTTAAAAAAGGGACAGCACAAAGATTTGGATCCAGTTTTCCTTATCTTAAATCTTGGCCTTTAAATCTGTCTACATTTTTCCTTTTGTGGTGACAATCGATTTTTTTTTTTTGTCCTTTTCACCTCTGGATATGATTCATTTGAAACTTGAGTGGTGTGGTGACGCTCTGAAGACACATGGGAGTTAATTTCAATATTACAATAATGACCATCATCTTAAGAAAAAGAACATGCATGTCGGTTTGTGAAAAACTCATCTTCTGAGGCCAAGCCCTGAACCATGAAGGCAGATTTGCTTAATGGAATAAAAGCTCAAACAGCTCCTCTTATCTATCATTTGCCCTTTCAGACTGGATTGTAAACTGAGAAATTAAGACTCTTGGAAGACAACAGATTTCCTCCTGTCAGCATTTTTTAAACTATACATAGCTGGATTCCTCCAAATATGACTGACTTGCTGCAGCACCTTTTACTGGTGCTCTTGTTCTCCAGTGCCACCTTACAACTCAGCATTGCGGCTGGTAAGTATCCAGTGGGTGTAACATGACAGCATGTTCTGCAAACAGATTAAATTGGATTACTTGAATTTAAACCAGTGGATTTCTGATAAATTCCATAGGAATAAATGGTGGATTTGAATAATTTGGTTCTGTTCTGTGGATGACATCCACACTCTTTTTTTTGCTAAAGAAATGGCGTGTGGTTTAGTTTTTTAAAAATGCCTTGGAAATTGTGTTCAAAGGTGTGTACTTATTTTGCAGTATTTTAGATGAGTACAGTCTGTGTCATTAAAATATTTTGATTTTAAAATATTTATCAAGATACATATTTTAAAGAATGTTTCTAAACAAACGTGATTAAAATTTTATTGTGCATAAATCTTCACAGTCATTGAGATGATCAGTGGTTTTTCAGGATCATTAACATATAAAAATATAACAATGTATATTCTAGGCATATTAAGTTAATCTGTCAATGTCTAGAATGAAATATCAAGGATGATACGTAGCTATTCTATGTGCATTTTGACCAATTTTTTTGTTGGCATGTACTTTGTTAATTGCTAACCATATTTTGGGCATTTTAAAAGAAATGGAAATTCTCTTCATACATACTTCATGTGTAATTTTGATTTTGGCGTAGGCTGGTCTAGGAGTGAGGATTTATGCTCCAAAGTATTGTGTCTTCACTTTTTTTTTATTTCATGGATTTCATTCTAACTATTAGGATGCATTACATTGTTACAAATATACAAGGTTGTTATTACTAGAAATGACAACCTCTTTTTATTTTCTTGTTACTATTTTAATGGCATATAGTGTTGTATAGGACAAGAGATACTTCTTGGAAAATTTTACAACAATATTAGAAGGATAATCTTAATGATCTGGTTTAACTGGAAGTTTTAAGAGTCTCAAGCAACTAGTATAGCAAGATTTAGTAAAAACCATATTTTTATAAATCATATTTTAATTCTATGTAAATATAAAATAAATATAGATGATTCTTAGCTATGCTCAGTATTCTAATGTTAATTGTAATATTAAGCACAATTGAAGTTGTACTTTCGCTAGGTTTTTAAAAATTCTCTTTTTGAAAAGTACTGAGTTAAAATGATATGAAATATTTGCTTATGTGGAATATTTTGTGTCATTGGCATTTAAAGTTGATGCCCACTATTCCTATCTCTGCTAATGCTATAGACTTTTTCTATAAAAACTGGATTTTTAAAACTTACATATAAATATAATATAAATAAAATATTTAATTTGGAAAAATATGTTTTTCCTGTCAAATTTGCTTAGAACTAGCAAAATGATGAGAATTGTTTTTGTGATTTCTGAACTAAATGAACAGATAATATCCTTGATCTGTTACATATAATGGAAAAAGGGGTATATCAGCTGTGTTAACTATTTACAGTACTGTTTTGACCTACCTCCATCTACTGATATATATTATTAAGCTCTGAGTTGGGAAATTTCCAAGCAATTCTTATACAGATACAAGTACATTCTTTTGAAGCTCAACCAAAACCACAATTCAGAATAATTATTGACTTTCTATAGAGTAGTTTTAATATGTGTAAATTCACAATTTCTAACACTGAATAATCAATATACCGTAGTTTTACAATATCTGAAAATATTTATAGAAACAATGTAAACAAATTCACTGTTAATTTCAGAATATATTTTTAAAGCATTCCTGTGTTTTTAGTGTCAGATTGTTTCTAATTTCAACTTTATCATAAGATTAAAAAAGGAAAAAGGGATTGAGAAATTAAAGGGAAGTAAAGTTTAGACAAAAGTTCTTAATTTTCTCAGATTCTTAATGTTCTTGGATGCTTAGAATGCTCAAATGTAATGCAGCCTGATGTTGGAATGTTGATAATCAGCTGGAATAGAAATAGATCAAAAATACTGATCTTTCAGATGAGCTAATTTGAATGCTCACACTTCTATCCTTTCTTTTTACTGCTTATGAGGATTGTTGAAATTCATAGAAGGAAAAGCCTGGTGAAGTGGTCCTGTAATTTGACTAACCTTTTTTTTTTAAAAAAAAAAAAAAAACTTTTAAAGTGAATGTGCTTTAATATTTATTTACATGAATAATATCTGCTTTCCTCTGGCCTTACTTTCTTTTATCGAGATTTATTTAATGGAAGATTTTAGTTCTTTTCTTGAAATTTAGCTTTCTGTCTTATTGAATCACATAAATCAACGCAATGTCGATATTCTACACCAATCTTATTTAAGAAAAATGTATGTATTTAGGCTTAGGTTTATATCCTATGTTCACAAATAGGATAACATAACATAAATGAATATTTTAAATTTGTAATTATTATATTTACCAAATATAGATGTTCATATATTTTACATTTGAGGAGTCAGAAAGAAAAAAATTAAAAGTTATTAATTGAATTAAGTCTTCAAACTAGAATTCTTACTTGTAAATACTATTACAAATACTATTATTTTTCAACTCCTGGAAATCAATGCAACCATAAACATGTACAGTACTATGTATTTCCTGCACTAAAGGGAAATATTTTCATATTAATACATTTTGCATTTAAAGAATAACACTGGTTATTATCTTTTAAAATTGGGAATTTGTACCTCGTAAGTCAAGAACATTTGTGATTTATGTGGTACCTCTGATTTAGAAAAACAAAAGTGAAAAGTAGGTTTTATTTCATCAACTCTTCAGCTTGGAAACCAAGAAGTAGCTTTTGTATGAACACTGACTTAGCAATTTTTTCATAATACATATATTCAGTGCTTTTTTTGTAAAAAAAAAAAAAAAAGTGCCGGAACTCACACACATCATATAACCCGCCTTGCCTACCCTACAAGGTTTCATCCAAAAAAGGTGCCGGAATTCCGTTCTGGGCGTTCTATGACAAAAAAAAGCCCTGCATATATTTAAAGTGGTGTAACCTTTGTTTCTAATAGCTTATTTTTTGGATGCATGATATATATTAAAATACAATACATTTTGTGGTCCAGTAAAATTTAAATTTCGGGTACTTCTCTAAGTATTTGAGAAAAGAAAAACCTTTATATATTGAAATGAAAATCAGTGTAGGTCTGGAATATTAAGAATAGGGAGAAAAAAAATCAGATCTCTGAGTATTTTTTCCTCTAGAACAAATTTTGAAATTTTGAAAATTGCAGTTACAGGACAATAATCAGGTTTTAAATACACATAGTTCTTGACTTAGGACTGGTCACTTAATGATCAAAGTTATGACAGACTCCCCCCCCCAGAGCTAGTTATGACCTGATTTCAAAGTTACACACAGGTGCGCGCACACAAACACAAACACACATACACTGCAGTCCTGCGCCCACATTTTGGGTGATTGGCAATTGGACTGCGTTTGCAGCCGTTTGCAGGATCCCATGGTCACATGATTGCGATTTTCAATATTTTTTTGCCCGTTTCTGGTCTTTCTGGTTTTTGGCATAAACGCCGATTGAATATAATTGGTTCATTTAACAACCACCACATTTGCTTAATGACTGCTGCCAGAACAATTATAAAATCAGGCAGAGTCATTTGGTAATCTACTTAACGACTGTCATGGCTTATTCTGAGCTCAGTTACAGTCATTAGTCAAGGACTACCTATCAATGAAAGCCCCATTGATTTCTCACTAAATTTGTCTAGACACCATACATTTGATGCATATGCAGATTTACCAGATACATTTCCTCATGCATCTTGGGATCTTTAGACTGAGAGAGTGACTGGTCCAAGGTCACTAAGCAGGATTGCCTAAGTGCAGTGTTTCTCAACCTTGACAATTTTAAGGCATGTGGACTTCAACTCCCAGAATTCCACAGCCAGCAATGCTGGCTATGGAATTCTGGGAGTTGAAGTCCACATGCCTTAAAATTGTCAAGGTTGAGAAACACTGCCTAAGTGGGACTAGAACTCATTATCTCCCAGTTTCTAGCTTGACACACCAACTACTACACCAAAATGGCTCTCATATGATACATACCAAAGGTCTATGGCAGTTCATTTTAGCTTAAAAATTCTATAATTATTTTCATAGTTATTGGCTAACATTATGTTAATAACAAACCTAGGTGAGTTCCCACCTCATTTTCCTACCTGTTTAGTTGTTGCTTAGGCACCTTTGGTTTTATTTCTGACTGCGGTTGTTGTTTCATCTGAATTCTTAAACACTAGCCAACTTCAAATGGTAGTCTGTAGAGCTGTTTAAATTAGCCATAGTTAAGATTAATCACAAGTGAGATGGAGGCAGAAGCCTCTCATTTCCTTGTGACTGCAGTATGAGAAATTGTTTGTCTGATGCTTATGTAATGTTAATGTACAACTTACTGTGAAATCTTTCCCTCCCTTATTCTTAAATGTTTCCATACACTTTTAACTTGTTTTATATTTAAAAATTGTTCTATGACTTTACATTTACAGAGGTATTATGCTGCATGATAGTTGCTAGAGACAATAGTTTTACAAGAGTACTAAACATAAAAAATGGTCATAAATCACTTTTTTCAGTCCGTTATAACTTCAAATGGCACTAAATGAATGGTTGTAAGTCAAGGACTTCCTGTACTTTATTTGGAGAAAAATTTAAGTTTTAGAATGGTTAGAGTAGGGATATATACCTGTGACCCTCTATTTACTAGTTTTGCTTCTTAATAATGGATTCTTCAAATAAAAGATCTGCATTGCTGCCATAACAAATTTCTTAGTGCATAGGAATAAAGCAGATTACAGGTAAATGAATATACACATTTTGTATCATATAAATTATACTGTGTATATTACCATAAATATACAGTATATATTCCAATTAAATTGTTAGTTTGCTAGAACCACTTGTATTTTAGTTGAGAATAGTTTTCAATTACCATTTGATAAACCACAGGTCTTGATTTTTACATCAAGATTGTACAGCAAAAGTTGTTTATCACATGTAGCTAATCCTTAAAAATCCCATGGTATGTTTACTAAGTCCACAGTTTGAAGGGGTTAA